GTACTCATTCATTATTTTCATTGGTGAAACAAATGAACGTCAAACCTGCTGTAAAACTAATATTTAAACAGGGGCTATAATCAAACCTACTGTAAAACTAATATTCTGATCAGAAAACACCATAAGTAGTATTATAATTTATTTGTTAGCTAGAGAGCGCACGACGCTAATTTGTTTGTTTTGAATTTCGCGCAAAGCTACACGAGGGCTATCTGCAATAGCCGTCTCTAATTTAGCAGTGTAAGACTAGAGGGAAGGCAGCTAGTTATCACCAACCACCGCCAACTCTTGGGGTACTCTTTTTACCAACGAATAGTGGGATTGACCGTCACGTTATAACGCCCCCATGGCTGAAAGGGCGAGCCTGTTTGGTGGGACGGGGATTCGAACCCGTGACCCTCAGATTGGGAGTCGAGCGCCCTAACTACCTGGCCATGCTGCGCCTATCGTTATGTGAACTGGACTTTGAATTATTGTCACCAAATATTTTTAAAAATTCGCCTTAGAAAGATAAACATTAAAACCATGGAAAACTGGGTTGTTCAGCTGTAAACTCCAGTAAAAGATTAATTTATTTTTATATACGATATCAAAATGTTGTTAGTCTGACAAAGGTTGTATGATCTGATTCAGATAACTTTCGTAACTAACAAATAACTTTATATTATCTTTCGTTAAGGGGCTTTCTCTTTAATTAAATAACTTTATATTATCTTTCGTTAAGGGGCTTTATCTTTAATTAACCGTACATGAAATTTTGTTGTTATGGGCTACTCTTTTTCTAACAAATAGTCACATTATAACGCCCCCACAGTTGACACGGATTCGAACCCGCTACTCACAGGTTGCGAGTCGAGCGCCCTAACCACCTGGCCATGCCGGGCCTACACGAAAGAAAAACATTTCCACAGAAATATAGAATCTGATTATACTCCCAGTAGACAGAATCCTGAAAAATCACCATATTCAACCCCATAGAATATTAGGGAAATTGAATCGAACAATTATAGATGTTAAAGTTTATTTGAAAGAAGGAAAGCAATGCTGTATGTTTGGCAAAATTTTCATTTATTGGCTGCAACAGTTCTATGAAAGTGGATGGTCACAAACTTCTACGTGTCAAATAATCATATACGATATTCTACAGTTGGGAAACAATAAGATAAGTTTGTTACACAAAATAACGATATTCTACAGTTGGGAAACGATAAGATAAGTTTGTTACACAAAATAACGATATTCTACAGTTGGGAAACGATAAGATAAGTTTGTTACACAAAATAACGATATTCTACAGTTGGGAAGCAATAAGATAAGTTTATTACACAAACTAAAAGAAAAATTTAGAAGATATTATTGTTTCTTTGCCACTTTTCTGTTAATATCTTCCAGTTTTGAAATAATGTTCGGAATGATATTTAACCGAAGAGTTGTGCCCCATTCTGTTGCTGTTGATGACCCAGCCCACCACCAGGGAGTGGTAGTAAAGGAATAAGCCTAGAAAAAAAAAATATATATATATACTTTAGTATCATTTACATGAACACTGTTAACATTATATGTTGATATCATTAAAATGTGCATTGTTAACAGTATATATTGATATTATTAAAACGTACATTGTTAACATTATATGTTGATCTCATTAAAATGTACATTGTTAACAGTATATATTGATATTATTAAAATGTATATTGTTAACTATATATTGATATTATTAAAATGTACATTGTTAACATTATATATTGGTTTGATTAAAATGTACATTGTTAACAATATATATTGGTTCTTTAAAAATGTAAATTGTATTGCTTTTACTAACTAATCAATGTTTTGATCTTTGACACATAAGTCCCCCAAATAACCTATATTCAGAAAGAGTAAATGTATTTACAATAAACCAATATTTTTATATTCGACAAAGAAGCTCCAGAATACCATACTCAAATATCCCATGTCGCAGTAGTTTATATTATCTATTGTAATGGTTTGTAACACTACAGATTTAAAGATTATATAATTGTAAAATATTCACTCCAACTTTGTTCGATGTTACTTACGTACAACAACGTTGTCTTGTAACGCAACAAATGTTGTTGCGAGGAGAAAATCCGCCTGACTCACATACTGAACACGAAGTGATGTTTGGAGTTAAACCAGGGAGAACAAAAAGCGCGCCAGTCTGAACGACCAGAAACAAAACAAAAACCATCTCAGCTAATCTCTTCATCATGCTACGGCTGGTAACAGAAATGGTAAGGTGTTTTAGACTGTTATTTAAAAAATACACACATTCAGTCATACTTAGAATAAAAATCATATTACAATAACATTTTAAATTCATTATGACATTTGTTAAGGCTTCAACTAAATGATAAATATATTCATGATTAATACAGAGTTTACTCTACTATAATACTAACTCACGAGTGTACTCATGATTGATACAGAGTTTTACTCTACAATAATTCTAACTCATGAGTGTACCCATGATTAATACAGAGTTTACTCTACTATAATACTAACTCACGAGTGTACTCATGATTAATACAGAGTTTACTCTACTATAATACTAACTCACGAGTGTACTCATGATTAATACAGAGTTTACTCTACTATAATACTAACTCACGAGTGTACCCATGATTAATACAGAGTTTACTCTACTACAATACTAACTCACGAGTGTACTCATGATTAATACAGATTTACTCTACTATAATACTAACTCATGAGTGTACTCATGATTAATACAGATTTACTCTACTATAATACTAACTCGACGAGTGTAC